ATGCGATTTCTGTCTATATAGATCAACACATGCAAGGAACCTCAACAAACATACCGGTATGCCCATCTCCATGTCAGCCAGGTTAGCTAGCGTGGCTAGCTGTCACGTGTATATGCATACGTATGCAGACAGGTAGAATTAAATAGCAACGGGGCTATGCCCGATGTTCCAGCATGCACTGTTGTCATGGGGCTCCCGAACGATCGCGTTATCATGATTACAAATACCTTCTGAACGTAGGTGAAGGGCATGTATATCGGCGGCATGTCTCAAAAATCCACAGAGCTGAGCAGGCCAGAGATTTGGAAAACTTGCAGAAAGGCTTTGTCACTACATCTTCAACGTTTGAAGAAATTTATGTTGATGGCCTGTTTCTGATGATTCCGGCAACCTCCACCAGCGCATGCTGCAAGCAAGTTGCCAAACGCATCCACTGACTCATGTCTGGTGCTTTGCCACCCCAGATTTCCGGGAGGATCCAAAAAGTAGATCCCTTAATGGGGGTTCCTATAAAGTACCCTTAGTAGTATAGGGCCCCATATGAGGGGATCTTCTTTCTAGATCCTCCCGAGGTCTGGGACCGTCACCGTTCATACTGCCGGTCCTTTACACTGCCCCTTCGTGTGCTGCACATCCGGTGCAGCTGAAAAGGCCCTTCAATTCTTTGAAACTTTGAAAGGCCTGTGTCTGGTTTTCAAGACTTTAACGAAGTAAAGTACTTTAAGCAGCATCTGCTTCAAGCTGCCGGGGCGTGTGGAATCGCATGCGCCAGAGCTTCGACTCCAAAAACTTATAAAAAACATAGAGGCCTTAATGATCAGATTAGGGGCTGGGGTTATCTTTATATATAAGGAACCCCCAACATAGTATAGGTATTCAGCCTACAGCTATACACCACCTGAGTTGCATAAAAAAAAAAGCAGAGCCTAATGCATCCTGAAAGTCCAACAAACGAACGAACCGTCCGGCCTTTAAACTCAACTGTGGCTTCACGGCTTCATGTGTCGCCCTTATGTGTCGCCTTAAGATGTTGACATGTGAAAACCGTCGCCCAGCCATCTCTTCCAACAAATCCCGGATAAGATTCCAAACAAAGCTGTAATATAGGGGCCTTAATAGTCACCTATACTATTTTGGGAGCTCCTTAATAGAATCATAGCAAAATATGACCCCAAACCCTATTCTACTTACTAAGGCCCCTATATTAGGGCATCGAGGCTCCGGAGGACGCTGCTTATGAACTGCCCGGCGCCTGCACCGACGAGGACGATCAGCAGAAGGAAAGGTAGGAACCCAGCACCTTCCTGTCATCACGAAGGTGGTTCTTGGGATCAGCAACAAATCCGAACACATAAGAAACCGAGGATGGCAGGATTTACCCCGGAGACTGGAAACCAAGTAGGCTCGAAAATCCCCAGACCGCACACTTTTACAACCCCAGGTGTAACAGTCCTGCTTCGCAGCTCGGTGTTTCTCATGATAGTCATATCTATCAACAGATTAAACCTATCTTCTCCAAGAAAGCAGTTTAAAACACATGACGTTGAGCATCATGAGCCCTAAACCCTGACGCTCGATAGCCTTACGAAAGCCTGTGGACGCGAATTTCCTGTTCCTGCGAACTATAGGCATCACTGGAACTGCCGCATTCCTACGAAACCTAACCCAGGTACCTACAAATCTGAACCAAAATGTGCATGCAGGAAACCCGAGGCTTGAAAGGTCAGACCCCCGCAACCCGAAGCCCTGAATGTCGTAATGGGATGCGGCCGAATGTAGGAACCTGATTAAGAAACCTTGGGCCTTCAGTAGAGATCGTTACTTGAATCCTACTATTCTGGGGTTATAGGCCCAGGGTTTCTTGATCAGGTTCCTACATTACTAAGTTTTACATGAACATACATGACGTCATCCTTCGACATGTTCTGGCCCCTGTACCTTTGGCCTGAATCCTGAAACCCTAAATCGAACCCCCTAATTAAAAACTTAATCCCTTCCCCCTAATATTAAATGGTCGGCCCCCCCCCCCCCCTTCGCCCTAAATAAAAACTCGAGAATGTTTTTATAATTAGGGTCCCGTTGTTATCTCAACTGCCAGAAACACAGGTTCTACAAGTAATTAAATGATGAAAATGATGACGATGAAAATGATGATGACGATTACGGTGATGTTATGATGAAGATGGCGGTAGTGGTGGTGATGGTAATGATGACGATGATCATGGTCCAGGAGAAGAACATGATGATGATGTTGTTGTTGATAGTAGCAGCAGTAGTAGTAGTCGGAGAAATAGCAGTAGTAGTAGTAGTAGTAGTAGTAGTAGTAGTAGTAGTAGTAGTGGTAGCAGTCGCAGCAGTAATTAGTAGCAATCGCAGCGGCAGCAGGAGCAGGAGTAGTAGTGGTATTGTCAATAGCAGGAGTAGAACATCCGCAGCATCGGCGCCAATGGCGTTTGGGCAAAGGGGCATGGGAAAGTGGGAATGGGTGGGTTTTGGTGGGTTTGCGCGGGTTTTCGGCGGGTTTGGTTGTGCTCTTGGCGGTTTTTGGTCATTTCAAATTGGGCCTGCGACCGTGCCCAAATCCCCTAGAGAGGCAGCCGCCCGCCCCCAGAACCATCTGGCCATGGCCTAATGGGTCAACGTCTGCCTCCAAAGCCCTCCTCGGGAAGGTCGTGGGCTCAATCCCCGGGGGTGTCATTTGGGCCCTTTCCCCACCCGGAATCGAGATTTTGGGGTGACCTGAAGCTCTGGGTTCTCTGGAGACTTAAGAAACGCTATTATAAGGGCTGCAAATCGCACCAAATCCGTGCAAATGCACACTAAAACCGTGCAAATGCACACTAAATCCGTGCAAAGACATACGAAATTCGTGCACATGCACACCAAGTTCGTGCTAATACACACGAAATCCATGCAAATACACACTAAATCCGTGCAAATAATTACACACGGAATCCGTGCAAACACACTCTAAATCTGTAAACACGCATTAAAAAAGAAGGCTTCAACAAAGGCTTAGCTAATAAAGCTTTGAATGCGGCTTAATTGAGCAGTTGCTGAGTCATGCAATTGTAATCCTTTGGAAGCATCGTGCCCATCCACGTGCTGGTGATGTGACGGCTATGATTGGGAAACGTTCTTTTCCATGCTAGTAAGATTCGTATCTGAGTTTCATCATGAATTGTTGTTCCGACAGTCTGACGGCAGTACTTTGCTTAATATGATGATGATGAGGAGGATGATGAGGAGGAGGATGAGGATGAGGATGAGGATGCTTATAATGATAATGATGATGTCGATGTCGAAGGTTTGGAGGACTACTACTGCTGCTGCTGCTGCTACTAGTACTACTACTACTGATTCTGCTGCTACTACTACTACTACTACTACTACTTGTACTATTCCTTGTACTACGATGACAACGACTACTTCTACCACCACCACTACCACCAATTACCACTGCCACTAATTACCACTGCTGCTGCTGCTGTTCTTGTTGTCACTACAACAACAACCACTACTACTACTACTACTACTACCACTGCGATGATTACGACTAATTACTGTTACTTCTCACTAAATATACTCCTCCTATTACGACGACAACTCCGAACTGCTAACACTCCCACAACAATGAGCGAGCGTGCATTGACCGGATGGAAGATGAGACATGGCTGCAATGGCTCAGTAGTAGTAGTAGTAGTAGTAGTAGTAGTAGTAGTAGTAGTAGTAGTAGTAGTAGTAGTAGTAGTAGTAGTAGTAGTAGTGGTAGCAGTCGCAGCAGAAATTAGCAGCAATCGCAGCGGCAGCAGGAGCTGGAGTAGTAGTGGTATTGTCAATAGCAGGAGTAGAACATCCGCAGCATCAGCACCAATGGCGTTTGGGCAAAGGGGCATGGGAAAGTGGGAATGGGTGGGTTTTGGTGGGTTTGCGCGGTTTTCGGCGGGTTTGGTTTTGGTCATTTCAAATTTCGATTCTGGATGGGGAAAGGGCCCACGGGGACACCGCCAGAATTGGGCCTGCGACCGTGCCCAAATTCCCTAGTGAGGCAGCCGCCCGCCCCCAGAACTATCTGGCCATGGCCTAATGGGTAAACGTCTGCCTCCAAAGCCCTCCTCGGGAAGGTCGTGGGCTCAATCCCCGGGCTTTCCCCACCCGGAATCGAGATTTTGGGGTGACCTGAAGCTCTGGGCTCTCTGGAGACTTAAGAAACGCTATTATAAGGGCTGCAAATCACACCAAATCCGTGCAAATGCACACTAAAACCGTGCAAATGCACATTAAATCCGTGCAAAGACATACGAAATTCGTGCTAATACACACGAAATGCGTGCAAATACACACGAAATGCATGCAAATACACACCAAATCCGTGCAAATACACACGGAATCCGTGCAAATACACGCCGAATCCATGCAAACACACACTAAATCCGTGTAAAGACATACACTAAATCCCTCTAACTACACACCAGGTACACAGTAAATGCGTGCAAATACATACGGAATCTGTGCAAATACACACTCAATCCGTGTAAATACACACACTAAATCCCTGCAATTAGACACCAAATACTGCGTGCAAATACTCAGGATCCCTGCAAACGCTAAATGCGTATAGATACACACCAAATCCATGCAAATACACACTAAATTCGTGCAACTACACAGGACATGCGTGCAAATAACTATACACCAAATCCGTGCAAATACACACAGAATCCGTGCAAGTACATGTAAATCCGTGCAAATACACATCAAATCCATGCAAATACGTTCTAAATCCCTGCAAATATACACGGAATCCGTGCAAATACACACTAAATCTGTAAACACGCATTAAAAAAGAAGGCTTCAACAAAGGCTTAGCTAATAAAGCTTTGAATGCGGCTCAATTGAGCAGTTGCTGAGTCATGCAATTGTAATCCTTTGGAAGCATCGTACCCATCCACGTGCTGGTGATGTGACCCTTATGATTAGGAAACGTTCTTTTCCATGCTAGTAAGACTCGTATCTGAGTTTCATCATGAACTGTTGTTCCGACAGTCTGACGGCAGTACTTTGCTTAATGTGATGATGACGAGGAGGATGATGAGGAGGATGAGGATGAGGATGAGGATGAGGATGCTTATAATGATGATGATGATGTCGATGTCGAAGGTTTGGAGCAGCCATTGCAGCCATCTCATCTTCCATCCGGTCAATGCACGCTCGCTCATTGTTGCAGTAGTGGTAGCAGTTAGCAGTTGTCGTCGTAATAGGAGGAGTGGTTGTTGTTGTAGTGATAACAAGAATAGCAGCAGCAGCAGCAGCAGGAGCAGCAGTGGTAATTGGTGGTGGTGGTGGTGGTGGTGGTGGTAGAAGTAGTCGTCGTCATCGTAGTACAAGGAATAGTACAAGTAGTAGTAGTAGCAGCAGGATCAGTAGTAGTACTAGTAGCAGCAGCAGCAGCAGCAGGAGTAGTAGTAGTAGTAGTAGTCGGAGAAATAGCAGTAGTAGTAGTGGTAGCAGTCGCAGCAGTAGCAGCAATCGCAGCGGCAGCAGGAGCAGGAGTAGTAGTGGTATTGTAGAACATCCACAGCATCAGCACCAATAGCATTTGGGCAAAGGGGCATGGGAAAGTGGGAATGGGTGGGTTTTGGTGGGTTTGCGCGGTTTTCGGCGGGTTTGGTTGTGCTCTTGGCGGTTTTTGGTCAATTCAAATTTCGATTCTGGATGGGGAAAGGGCCCACGGGGACACCGCCAGAATTGGGCCTGCGACCGTGCCCAAATTCCCTAGTGAGGCAGCCGCCCGCCCCCAGAACTATCTGGCCATGGCCTAATGGGTAAACGTCTGCCTCCAAAGCCCTCCTTGGGAAGGTCGTGGGCTCAATCCCCGGGGGTGTCATTTGGGCCCTTTCCCCACCCGGAATCGAGATTTTGGGGTGACCTGAAGCTCTGGGCTAGAAACGCTATTATAAGGGCTGCAAATCACACCAAATCCGTGCAAATGCACACTAAAACCGTGCAAATGCACACTAAATCCGTGCAAAGACATACGAAATTCGTGCTAATACACACGAAATGCGTGCAAATACACACCAAATCCATGCAAATACACACTAAATCCGTGCAAATACACGCCGAATCCAGGCAAACACACACTAAATCCGTGTAAAGACACACACTAAATCCCTCTAACTACACACCAGGTACACAGTAAATGCGTGCAAATACACACGGAATCTGTGCAAATACACACACTAAATCCCTGTAATTAGACACCAAATACTGCGTGCAAATACTCACGATCCGTGCAAACACACGCTAAATGCGTATAAATACACACCAAATCCATGCAAATACACACTAAATTCGTGCAACTACACAGGACGTGAGTGCAAATACGCACCAAATCCGTGCAAATACACACGGAATCCGTGCAAATACATCTAAATCCGTGAATCCGTGCAAATACATACTAAATCCGTGCAAATACACACTGAATCCGTGCAAATACACACTAAATCCGTGCAAATACACAAATCCGTGCAAATACACACTAAATCTAAATACGCATTAAAAAAATAGGCTTCAATAAAGGCTTGGCTAATAAAGCTTTTCATGCGGCTCAATTGAGCAGTTGCTGAGTCATGCAATTATAATTCTTCCCCCTAAACCCTCAATCTATAGACCCTAAACCTTCCCCCTAATTCAAATTAGGGTTTAAAGGGCGGTGCTACTTCCGGGTGGATCGGGGGAAAAGTGTTTTTATAATTAGGGATCTCTTTAGTAAATGGGGCAAGGGATTAAATAAAATAGAAATACCAAGTTTGCCGTGCTCTAGCCTCAGAAAATAGAAGTCTGAATGTGGGGGATCCTTAGAAGCGCTGAGACCCTGAAACGCCCCGTAAAGCCGCGATTCTGAGACCCTACCAACCCCTGCAAAGCCCCTCAACGAGTCCTATAAGCTTCGAGGGGCCAATTTAAATCACCCCATTGAAGTCATTCAAGCACAGAACACGTACAAAGCCCTTCAAAAGCCTTTTTACACCGCCGTAAAACTATTCTATGAAAAGCTGGCCCTAATCTCCGAGCCCTACACCCCAAACCATAAACCATGAAGCCTAAACCCTAAACCTTCAACCCGAAACCCTAAACGCTAAACCCAAACCCTTAACCTGAAACCCTAGCCTAAACCCTAAGCCCTAAACCTTAAACCCAAATCCCTACACCCTACTCCCTAAACCTTTAACCCTAAACCCTCGACGTCTGAGAATTGTCAGGGCCAGCCGGGCCTCCTCAGGTGGCATTGCGCCCACATCGGCCAGGCCACCTGCAGGTGAAACGGCGAATCCATTTGGGTGGCTGTCAAAATTATGGTCCCATTTTGGGGTACCCTAAATAATCAACATTAGGGTCCCTTTTTGGGGTACCCTAAATGATAGGTGCCGTAATATAGTAGGGACCCAAAAAAGGACTATAATTTGACAACCACCCGTTTGACTGTCAGGTTCTCAGTAGGGAATGGGGGATTGGGTTATGGGGACTATTATTGGGGTTTATATCGGGACTGCTATAAGGTTTCATTCCCACCAAACAGACGTCAGGGTTTTGGGTGTATTACCAGGATCCCCCCAGTGGCCCTTCAATAGAGCCCTTGTGGTCCTCAATAGTGGATACTTGGGGGTATGATAGAGGGTAGTTGGGGGGTCTAGGTATACCCTGAACTCTAACCCTGAACCCTAAAAGTCCTATGGCCTAAGGGTTCTAGGGTATTAAAGGTTTGGAATGTGGGCCAGGGGCCGGGTTTGCGGCATTTAGGGATAACGGTTCAAAGTTTACTGGGGTTTGGGATTTGGAGTTTAACCCTAAACTCTAAACCCTAAACCCAGAGTGTAGCGATTGGTGAACGTTTCAGGGAACGAGAGATGCAACTGTCGACTGAAACTGGTAGTCTCTTCTTATAATCCAAGGGTAAAAGGAGGGACCCTTAATAAGGACCCCTAGGTATTTAAGGGATCAAAAAGGGTTCTATTTAGGGTTTAGGGTTTAGGATTCCTTTAGTAAGGACCCCTAGGTATATACCCTTAATATAGCTATTATATACCCATTATATAGCCCATTATAGGGTAGGGGTCCCCATTAAGGGTCCCTCCTTTCCCCTTTGATATAAGGAGCCATGACATGGGCTGCTCTCAAACCCTTTAGATGTAAACCATATCTGGGTAGTTGTCAAAATGATGGTGCCTTTTGGGGTACCCTTAAACGATAGGTGCAGTATTATGATAGGGACCCAAACAGGGACCCTAATTTTGACAACCACCCATCTGGGAGTTTCCGAAAATAGGGGGCCCTAATTTAGTACCCTAAATAATAGGATCCTTCATATGAGGACCCCAAAATAAGGTGCCCCTGTTTCAAGGGCAACCCTCGCACTATCAGAGCAGGAACAGCCTAATATAGGGTTCCTTTTAAAGGGGTCTATAAGGATTAGTTCTAAGGGGTATTCTAGGGGTTTACTGTAGGGGACTTGATAATTACCTATACTATTTTGGGGTTCCTGATTATTGTTTTAATATATAATGGGCCCCAAAACCCTATTCTAATTGTTATGTAAGGCCCCTAGAGTAGCAGGTTCGGGGCGAAGATGATCAAGTCTGAGACTCGTGGCTGCTGGAATCCTGTAAACTCTACACAACAGCATCCTGTCATTCCCAGTGTTTCGCACCAGGGCTTGAAACTTTGTAACATTCGGAGCACCTGAGCAATGTAGCTTGCTTGAAACAGCCCCTGTTATGAAACTTTAACTTCGCTTGTAGAACAGACCCAAAGCCCAAAACCAGGTCAAAAACCCAACCACACTGGGACCATCCAGCCAGCCCTTGACGGTGAACAAAAGACCCAACAAGCCTACGGCCTCTTACTTAAAGGGTCATGGGACTTAGTAAGTTGGGTTATAAGAAACGTAACTACAGTTATAAATTACTTATAACCCCAATTAACGTACTTATAACCCTACTGACTAAGTCCCATGATCCTCCAAGGAGGCTTTACAGGAGTTCACTGTTTAGGATTTCAGGCTTACGGCCTCGTAGGGTCTGTAGGTTTTAGGGTGGTTTAGGGCCCTAAACCTTACGGTCAGTATGCCTTCATCCATGGCTTCCGGGCAAGCACGGGGCGCAGAGAAATGCTAAAGATGCTCTTGCACTCCCATAGTCCATGCCTATGCTGAACTGGAGGGAGCATCAGCTATCCTGCGTTGGGTTGCTTTTGCAAACTGGAAGTACGACCTCCAACTCTTGATGACATACAGTGCACGTTTCCGGGCGCTAGGCTTGACTTCGCGGTATAGTTGGCGAGTTGCTAGCTGTTCGTGGCTCCGATACTTCGGTATTCCAACGGTCAGTATTGGGCTAAATCTACTCGAACCTCCACCGTGACCCTGGGCTCACTTCGGATTCGTCGAGACCGGTCGTATGTCGTGCAAGGAAGCCTACACCTAGCTACAGCTGGGCCGATTTCGAAGCAGCGTCGAGAGTGGACATCTGGTCACACCCGCTATCAAGGCTGCACTTGCTAACGACATCCGAGCTACGTACCCCAAACGAGGCTTCGCCTGCACCAATAAAGCAGACGTTCTCCCAGAGGATGCGCAAAAGCTCGCTTGAAACCCTGCAGGACTACAATGCAAAGCCCATGACATGGGACTTGTTGTTCAAGACTGAAGTTATATAGTTTTTTATTGAGGATGCAGGCTAAACTTCATGCACCCCAATACCTACAGCTAAAGTCCCTGTAGCAACCGTGGACAACACTGATAACAAAGAGCAGTTTCGCAAGCATCGCCACCATGGCGGCAACTATCACATAACTTTTTGGAAAACTAGACCCTTCATTTGGGATCCTTACAGTACGGATCCTACTATTTAGTTAGTATAGGGTACTATATTAGGGTCCCCTTTTTGTCCACAACTCCGTTGCAGCGATTGCGTTCTCCGATCGGAGGGTTGCTGCTGCAGCGTTAGGGGCCGCTCGGAACGTCTTGACCACCGATGCCGAGCCAGTACCCATAGGGCCCATAGTAGTTCCTGTTTGGGGTTCGTATTTGGAATTCTAAAAGGTAATCCCAGAAAGGAACTCGTATGGGGCCTATGCGTACTGACTAAGTAGCATGTTTGGGTCCACTCCAGCCAACAGCACTGAAATCATAATAACGACAAAACTAGCATGATGCCGGCGACCACGACCACGCCTACGACCGTGAAAACGACTACAACTGCTTCGACGACGACCATGCTAGTGCTACTATACTACTACTACTACTACTACTACTACTACTACTACTACTACTACTACTACTACTACTACTACTACTACTACTACTACTACTACTACTACTACTACTACTACTACTACTACTAGTAGCCGACAGCGTGCTCCTGTGACCCCCTTAACTGGCCCTAAAGCTTCAAAAGGCGGAAAAGTACTTTTACTTTAGAGGAGCACGCGGGCGACTACTACTACTTTAGAGGAGCAGGCGGGTAACGACTACTACTTTAGAGGAGCAGGCGGGCGACGACTACTACTTTAGAGGAGCAGGCGGGCGACGACTACAACTTTAGAGGAGCAGGCGTGCGACGACGGAGACTACTACCCTATCTAGCAATAAGACCCTATCTAACAATATGCCAAGCCAAGCCAAGCCAAGCCAAGCCAAACCATTTTAAAAAAGATCTCCTTTCACCATTGTGACAGAGGAAAACCCTATCTAACAATAAGACCCTATCTAACAATAAGACCCTATCTAACAATAAGACCCTATCTAACAATAAGACCCTATCTAACAATAAGACCCTATCTAACAATATGCCAAGCCAAGCCAAGCCAAGCCAAGCCATTTTAAAAAAGATCTCCTTTCACCATTGTGACAGAGGAAAACCCTATCTAACAATAAGACCCTATCTAACAATAAGACTCTATCTAACAACAAGACTCTATCTAACAATAAGACCCTATCTAACAATAAGACCCTATCTAACAACAAGACCCTATCTAACAATAAGACCCTATCTAACAACAAGACCCTATCTAAGAATAAGACCCTATCTAACAATAAGACCTTATCTAACAATAAGACCCTATCCAACACTAAGACCCTATCTAACAATAAGACCCTATCTAACAATAAGACCCTATGTAAAAGTAAAACCCAAGCCAAGCCGTACGAAACCAAGCCGAACCAAACCAGTCTAAGAGCAAAACCCAAGCCGGGCAACAAAGCAGTGTGCCGGGGCGCAGAGTGCCGTGGCGCAGAAACCAAACGGCTGCCGCATGCAAGGGGGAGAGGTCACAGTCAGAGGCATGCGACAAAGGAGGCAAAAGGGGGGTCACAGGAGCACGCTGTCGCCTACTACTACTACTACTACTACTACTACTACTGCTACTGCTACTGCTACTGCTACTGCTACTGCTACTGCTACTGCTACTGCTACTGCTACTGCTACTGCTACTGCTACTGCTACTGCTACTGCTACTGCTACTGCTACTGCTACTGCTACTGCTACTGCTACTGCTACTGCTACTGCTGCTGCTACTGCTACTGCTACTGCTACTGCTACTGCTACTGGTATTGCTACTGCTACTGCTACTGCTACTGCCACTACGGCAACTGCTGCTACTACGGCAACTACAACTACAATAACTAGTACGACGACTACTACTACTACTACTACTACGACCAATACTACTACTACTACTACTACTACTACCACTACCACTACTACTACTACTACTACTACTACTACTGCTACTACTGCTACTGCTACTGCTACTACTGCTACTCCTCCTCCTCCTCCTACTACTACTACTGCTGGTACCACTACTACTGCTACCACTACCACTACCACTACCACTACCACTACTGCTACCACTACCACTACCACTACCACTACCACTACCACTACCACTACCACTACCACTACCACTACCACTACCACGACCACGACCACGACCACGACCACGACCACGACCACGACCACCACCACCACCACCACCACCACCACCACCACCACCACCACGACCACTACCACTACCACTACCACTACCACTACCACTACCACTCCCACTCCCACTCCCACTCCCACTCCCACTCCCACTCCCACCACTACTACTACGACGACTACTACTACTACTACTACTACTACTACTAGAACCACTGCCACTACCACTACCACTACCATTACCACTACCCCTACCCCTACCACTACCACCACCACCACCGCTACCACTACGGCTACTATCACTACTACTACTACCACCACTACCACGACAATGACCACGACCACTACTACCACCACCACTACTACTACTACTGCTGCTACTACTGCTGCTACTACTACTACTACCACCACTACCACTACTACTACTACTACTACTACTACGACTACGACTACGACGACTATGACGACGACGACGACGACTACGACTACTGCTACTGCTACTGCTGCTACTACTACTACTACTACTACTACTACTGCTACTTCAACTACTATGACATATGGAATGCAAGCGTGCAAGAGTTCCGTGGCACCGCAAGTACTACGCCAGCCGCAGCCATCAGCACCATTAGGTGCAAACGGGCGAATTAAACTGTGACGCTTCGCTGAACGAACACGCGTGGAGCCTGGATGAAAGTACAGAACCACCCCTATGATAGAAATCTCACAGAAGCCGCTCGAAGACTTACCGATCAAAGCATCGCTCCTTGCATGCAGGAAGCTATGACTGTGTTCGGGTGTAGGCTGCTTACACCGCGATCTTTCGACGGAGACTCAGGCGCCGTGAGTCGCTCACGTGGGCCTAAATGCCTACTTGTCTGCTTTACCGCTGGCTGGTTGTCAGGGCTCGTGTGTCGGAGAAAGCATGAAGTGACAACTACTGGCTAAGCCGGACGGACGGTGCACGGAGTCTCGGACTCATCGACACAAGCATGCAGCTTAGGGACAGAGACTTCCCACAATAACAACAACATCAGCAACATAGCAGCAGCGATAAACGCAGCAGCGGAAATGAGTCCCTAAGCTGCGACATGAAACAGAAACGTCGACTTGTACAATTACAACTGTACAACTAATGTACTCACCGCTCTTTCAGACTTTGAAGGTGTCTGAATTGTGCTGAACAACTGGCCCACCATCGCCCTGGGATGGTTCTCGGGCTCTGGGCTCTGGAAATGCGTGGCATATTACCTATAGTCTCTATTGTAGTTCCTTTTTTTGGTTAGCCAGAATCTATATTATAGGATCCAACCAAAAAGGAACTGCAATGGAGACTACAGGTACTGCTCTTCCACATACTGTCTCAACTCGAAACCCTCGAGCCTCACACCGAAGCAAAACCAGCCACCGAAAAACGCCAAACTCAGCGCAATCGAAATCCTAAACCCTACACCCCTACAGCCCTAAACTCTAAACCCCTAAACCCCTGAACCCTCATCTCCTAAACCTCTACACCCCTGAACCCCTGAACCTCTCACACACTAAATCCATCCCAGTGTGCCCTGGCCTAGCACGACGCAGCAGGAATCTGGTTCATATCCCTAGGGCTCTAAGGACACATCTATTGAGGCTTTTGGGCCCAAAGACCATACTATATGAGGCTTTTGTAAGCCTTACATAGAACTACAGCAAGATACCATGGAGATCAACATAGCTCAAATTTTGAGCTATTTTGATGTCCATGGTATCTTGCTGTAGTTGTATGTAACGCTTACGAAGGATTAAAGGAGTGTAATTACAAGGCTTCATCATGGGCTGAAGCCTGGCTGGCTCCAAGCCATTTGTGCTCGGCACTCAACAATGCTTCAGACAGACGACTATCCCACTCAGAAGCTTACCGTAGGGGCCTCAATAATTAGAATAGGGTTTGGGTCGAGGGTTTTCCAAACATTGAGGCCCTACAGTACACACGACTGCCGGTGACAAATTGGAACAAACACTGACACCTTGACCCCAAACCAAGCGAACCGACAAAACCTTGACGCAACTCTGAACTGCCAGAGAGCCCCGTGCCAAGTTCACAGAGGCTCATTATGCCGTGACCTTGAAGCCTGAACCCTACCCTTTAGCAGACAGCGTTATGATCGTGTCTTGGAGCATTCTGGGCTTCTTCTGGCCTCGACCTCTTCCGCCTCTCCCCTGCCTTATCCCGGCTAGGGTTTATGGTTAAGGCTTTCCGGCCTGGCCGAATCCTCTTGCCTCTCCTTCCTCCTCGTGAGGATTTGAGACTGCGGGTTTCGGGATGCTGAGCTTAGGATTGGCAGGGAAACTGCTGCAAACCTGACATTGAAACGAGGAACTCGCTAGCGGAACAGCAGAATCCCAAAAGCCGCAGTCTGCTTTGGGACAAACACACACACACACACACACACACACACACACTCACACACACTCACACACACACACACTTACAGACATATCCACATCTATCGATGATATACACACACCAAAACAGTATGTTGCGGCTTAGGGTTAGACGCGCAAATCAACAGGGACTCTGGGGTGGGGTGACACCAAGTTTGACACATGCTGCTACAACCTTCCCAACATCCGGCGGTAGCCGATCGAGATGACATGCAAACCCTACACCATACTCTAGACCCTCAGCTCTAAACCCTGAACCCTGAACTCTAACCAACCCTCGTTCCAGACTAAGTTTCGGTAGAGGCCCTTCGTGAAGGAGCCGTATCCACCTGGCGCAAAGTCATTCAGGGTGTCAAGTAAAGGCTGTAGGGATTCAGGGTTAGGCAAGGATTCTAGTGCTGAGGGTGGTTAGTGGCGAGGAGCCGGAGAGAGGAACAATTCATCGGTGGGTGAAGCGGAGAGGAGCAGCTTGTGCCTCAGTCTCTGCCAATCTTAAACGACGACTCGAGACTTTGTCACCAATCAACAGGCCTTGCTCAAGAGACAAAAGGCTGATTGAGGGCCCGCACTGCCTCAGTAAAGTCAGTGTCAGACAAAAGCTGACCAGAAAGAGCCTCATCTATGCTACTCTTCGCCTAGCACCAGCCCTCGGCAACGTGGCTTGGAATGGTACCATTTGCAGTAGCAGCCAAACCACTACAGGTACCACCAACAGCAGTGACAACATCATCATCGTCGCCAGCATCAGCATCAGCATCACCGTCATCAGCGTCACCATCATCATCACCAGCAGCACCATCATCATCATCATCGTCGTCGTCGTCATCAACATCATCGTCAACAGCAATAGCCGCAGCAGCGGCAACAGCAGCGGCAACAGCAGCCACAATCTCATTTCCGACATCAGCTATGACTGCACCTGCAACGACGACGAGAGCCAACACCAACACCACCAACAACAGTGACAGCTACAACGGTGGCAACAGCACCAGCACCAGCAATGGCAACCGCAACCGTAACACCGGCAACAGCGACAGCAACAGCATCGTCAAAAACAGAAATAATCATAGGGACACGAGTCCATCATTCACGCCTGCTATCCTAACCCTGGTCTCCGACAGTTTGGATGGTTCGAAATCACATGAATTTTCAGTTAGGTCTGAACCCGATTTCTCCCCTAAACCCTAAACCCTCCGACCATGCCTCGCTGGGCCGCAGCGTCGATAGGCTCTGGGGGGCACCGTCTGCGCCCACGAGGGACCTTAGTATTTTTGTAGGGCTTCGGAGGACTCCGGGGCGTAACCAAAAACCCTGAAGCCAGAAGTACGGAGGTTTCTCTGATACTGACTCTGACTACAGCCGCCTTATTTTCAACTTCAGCTGCATCTAAGTACAATGTTCTCTCTATTCTCATAGGCTCCATAGTAGTTGCTGTTTGGGATTGCCTTATAGGATTCTAAATATGAACCCCAAAAAGGAACTAATTTGGAGCCTCTGGGTATTCTATTCTTTCTCCCTGTGCAGAAAACCGACGACGAGGACGGCTCTCGATGGGGAACTGAGCAGTGCCACCTACATTCCCCTAGGGGTCCAAGTACTTCCTGTTTAAATCATATTCAGGATCCTATTATGATTCAAGGTATATTCCTTAATTCCCTTCCCCTCAGGGTCCAAGTACTTCCTATTTATGGCTTTTGGTACCTAAAAAGGCCCTAAAGTCCTATCATACTTCCTATTTATGGTTTTTGGTACCTAGAAAGGCCCTAAAGTCCTATAATAGGGAGTACTTGGACCCTCTGGGTTCGCACTTGACTCACTGTCGGCGAAGGGGCGCAAATCTCTGCGCTCGCGCAACCAGGTCCTGTCAAGAGTCGCCGCTGCATATCGGCCGAGGTATCATGCTAATGCTATGAAGCTGCAAGGTTAAGGTTACCTGTGTAGTACTCACCTATTCATCTACGTAGCAGCAAAATCATAACGGCTCACAAGCCCTCAACCCGAACGGCAACTCTCCGACCCTTGCTATTTCACAAAGGTGAGATACAAAGGAGTCAGATCGGGGTGAGGACTGGTTCGCGAGTTGAGGTTCGCGAAGGAAATCTGGACACCGCTGCAGACCCGAAAAACTTACCTCATGAACCTGGTACGAGTCTTAGAAGGCCGAGATAAGACTCAAAAGAACAAGCAGTAGAAACGCCCTACTAGACGTAAAGCCCTTCTAAAACCTTGTTACACAAAGACCTTATTACAGCCCACATATCATATAAGGCATTATAAGCCCTGATTAAAGAAGCCTCTGCGAGCCCCTTTCAGAACCCTGCTGAATGTCTGTAAAACCCCATCAAAACTCTCCAATCCCACGAGAAAAGCACCCTATCAAAGTCTTATAAACCCATCATAGAGCCCTATAGGACCCCTTGTACAAAGTTTTTACATCCTTCCAACAATCCGGATAATACGGGGGCCAAAATAAATGGAATAGGGCTTCGAGGCCCATGAGACTATAATTATGTTAAGGAGCCCCCCCAATTTTTTTTTTCGCAAATTTTGTTGGCCCCTATCTTAAACCCGACACCGGCCTGGAGTTGGTCTCCCTCGAGCAGGCAGTCAGTTACCTTAGTCTGAAATACGTCGGCGGCTTACTTCGGCTCCTCTCTTGAACCCTTAAACCCTGTTTTGAACCCCTCAACCCTAAACGCCCTAAACTCTATAGTAAAGACAACTGGGCGTGTTGGCTTTCGGTCTTCCTAGGTTTGAGTGTCACAGAATTCCTTATAAGCCGGCCTACTTGTTGGGATTCAGGGTCTAGGATTTACACTAATTTGCTTCGATTCGATCCAAGGTATGTACGGTTTGTGGTTTTAGGTCGTAAAGTTGTGTCTGTGCATTGGGCTAACGATTCGGGATTTAGGATGTAAGGTTTGGGGTTCCGCCAATCTCTTGCAGGACGGGCTGCTGGCAATCCTTGCTCCACACGGTCCTCCACTTGGCCAATGAGCAGGATGCCGAAGATCCTTGCACTCTCGTAATATATCAAGATGCGTATATGCAAATACATACAGACACACCTACTTGCCCACATACATACATACATACATACATACATACCTACGTGCGTACATCAATACACACACCCATGTATAATCATGTCTGCATGCATACATACATACATGCGTACATACGTACATACCTGTATACACACACAGTATGTATGCATGTACATAAAAATGTGTACATAGAGAGAGAGAGAGAGTTATATATATATATATATACACATATGCATATTTGTATATGCACGTATAGACGGTCGGATATGAAGCTAGATAACCAGTTACTTTGACGTTTGCATGCTGCTGCAAGATATTTGCGTGCTGGCGACTCCAGTCTCGCTAGACAATGTTGCTTTGCAATGCGCACTGCCGAAATATTCCGTTAGTTTCCTGTGCTCAGTGATTTTGTTAAGGGTCTTCATGGTGGAGATTTCGGCCCCACATACTCTCAAACCTCAACCCCAAACCGTGCACATGCGTCACTGACCGAAAGAAGCCCAAGCCCAGCTATCTTCGAGTGCTTCTTTGTCCGTTTCCCAGCGTTGAGACCTGGGAATCGCCCGCACACTCGGCTTCATATGAGACTGCGGAAGAATCCGGCAGCCTTGCGTGCTCCACTATAGACCCAAAGCCTAATCGAATATGAGTTTCTACTCCAGGAGATTCGCGCCGGGAAGGCTCCGAGGAGCCAGAACCTAAGGCCTGTATCAGGGCTTAGGGTTTAGGCTTTAGGGGTTTATGGCTTTAGGGCTTTAGGGGTTTATGGCTTTAGGGCTTTAGGGGTTTATGGGTTTAAGGGACACCTGGTAATCTTGCTAAATGTCCTTAGGATACCACATACAGTAGCACTTGCATACCGCAGTGCCTCTGAGGCCTTGCGACAAGCATCCATGTGTATGTGTGCATGCATCGATACAATACATACATACCTACATATACAAACACACATTGTCACATATTTGTTAGTAGAGTGGATGCATGTGCAAAAGAAACCTGCCATGATGTAGCCTCACGTCCGATAGAAAGTCATGTCTTTCTTAAAAACTAAACCCCTAAACCCCTGAACCCCTACACCCTAAACCCTGAACCCTAAACTCCTGAACCCCTAAACCCTAAACCCGAACCTCCGATAGAAAGTCACGCTGTGACGAGGGGCTGCAAGTGCCGGTACAGCGGACCGCCCACCGAGATGGCGATCTTGCCTTACGCAGATACTGTATCTGTAGGGGCCTTAAGAATTAGAAAAGTGTTCCTTTTTTGAAGGGGTCTTTAGGGATTACTATAAGGGCTTGCTTTAAGGATTTAGTGCAGGGGGCTTAATCGGTAGAATATGGTTTTGGGGCCCATGATAGTTATGATAAGGAACCCTCAAAATAGTATTGGTAATTATTAAAGACCCTATAGTAACTCAAGGCCTTCTATGTCGGGTGGAGGCCTTGTAGTGGAGTATCTGCTTTATCTCAGGAACGGGGGTAAAGGTTTCAGCTTCTCGGGGGTTCAAGGATGTCTCTGACCCTAGCAAAAGCCTGTCTTCACATGAAGACACATCATCGCCCATCAGCTGCATCTGCGCCCCTGCAGCCATCATCATTGTGTTCGTTTCGATCGCGAACATGATGAACATATTCACGCCCACACATGTCCCATAATGTCACTTGTCATGACCATGGCCAGCACCATTCTAACAAAATGAACAGCATCATTAGCTGGCTGTGTGATTGGATTCTTCAGTCGAGCTGTGGTCTCCACATCCCCTGAAGCTCTCAAAACTTAAACTTAAACTACCGACAAAAACACACAGCATCTGACCGTGGATCCCGTGATTCGCAACCCTTGAAAAGGCAGCCCCAGCAGCCGAACTCCGAGCAGTTGATGCCCAAATAGTAGCAAGCTCCCTTCCTTTGGAATTCAGTATAGGGTTTTGGGATTCGGGCATTTGAGGGCTTCGGGGTGCAGACTTGTGGATTTTGTGGGTTTTGACCTTTAGCAGTATGCCATAGGGCGTTTGGGTTCAGTGGATTTTGGAAGTCGGAACCTTCACCCTAAACCAGAAGCCCCCAAATCCCGAACCCCCGAATCCCTAAATCCTAGCCGGATTCCTTCCCTTGTGGTCTTCGGTGCATCTGTGCTTGACGGCTGACCGGTGTGTCGGGTTTACCTAAGAAGTTAGACGTACGGAGAAGACAACTCTTCTGTTGGCATGATTTAGTTGTTTAGAGCCCCTGACCTCCTAAGCGATTGGTCGTTGCTGTCCGTGGACATCTCGAAGAACCGGAAGATAACATGTGCGATACATATCCGAGCTGAACGCGAGAACCGAAACGGCAAACCTGATAATGCCCTGCTACGCGGTAAACGATTTTTAAGAAGGAGGATGGCCGTTCTCGAAACACGTAGTTTCTGCAAGGAGCCTTGCAAAGCCGAACGTTCTAATGGGCATGGTAGCGGCATGGTGTTGTGAAGATTCGGATCGACAAACCTTGAACTCGAACCACCGTAGCCCTGTAATATAGAGCCTTAATCAATAGAAAAAGGTGGTTTCGGGGGTATGTGAAACTATAATTATCAAAAGGAACCCAAATAGTATAAACACATAAGAAATAAATATATATATATATATATATATATTCTATATATTCGAAATTTAAGAACCCTACCGTACAATTGTCGACCTTGTAGGCTCAACTCTGCACCTCGGTATTTTGGAGAATCCAAAGTTGGAAACCGGGCACAGGCCCCTCTTTAGAGGGCTCTATACAAAGGTTACTATAAGGGATCTATAATAAGGTACTATAATATAGGGGCCGTACCAATTAGAATAAGGTCTTGGGGCCCATTATAGTCTAATTATAATAATAAGGAACGCCAAAAGTAGTATAGGTAATCAGTAAGGCCCTGTAGTAGGCACGACAAGCATCTGCGCCGTCAGCCGACCGTGGTGGTACCACTCCGTCCAAATAGCTGGCAGACCTTGGATGGGTCTTGCTACGCTCTTTGCCGAGGCTTGATATGAGGCGCAAAGTCTGAGGGTCCAGGGTTTCTGAGGCTCGGGTTGTTGGATTGCCGGCTTGTTGTTATCAGCTATTGCTGTTGCCTGCTTTGGATTCAATTTTCACTTTTTGTGCATTTGCTTGCTGTGGGAACTCTCGTTACCGTCTACGCAAACCTCCGGCGTAAACCCTTTTGGCACGGCATGTCTTGCTGGGTTGTAGTTTTTGGGGGCCGCCAAGGGTAAATATGAACAGACACCTCTATGCGACCATGACTCATGAAGGGCATTCTAGAGTTCCCCAAAGTGCCATGCTCAGCTTCTAAACCAGACCCTAAACCCTAACCCTAAAAAAACCCAAACCGTGAAGCCTAAAGCTTGAAATCTGCAGTTTGGGTCTCTAGCTTGACTGTCGGGGCATGTCTGGGTTTACGGCTTCGGATTTAGGATTCCGAGTTTAGGGTTTGGAGCTTGTGGTTTAGAGTTTTATAGGTTTTAGAGTTTATAGTGTATTATATAGGATTCAGAGTCTAGGGTTGAGTGTGTTGGAAGGCGTCGAAGACGGTTGTTACTAGGCGGGGTTTGTATATGATTTGTCATAGAGGTTCCGCAGGATTTCTCAGGGACAACCTATATTCTCTCCATATAACTAAACGCCACAACCTTAAATCCTCTATGTTTGCCAGCTTCAGATTTCAGCTGCGGCTGCTCAGCTGATGTTGACATCTTCCATTCGTGATGCTATCATTGTGGAGACGATTGCTAAACAAATGAATCAAACGAGGCTCTTGGTTAATCGCAGCCTCAGAGACTCAGGGTCCCGAGAACAAAAGATGCTACAGGCTCCGACTAAATGCCTCAGCCCTTCGCCACAGGCAGTAGTTACCCTGGAACTCCACAAGACCCCGAATGGCGGTAAGGATCTGTATTATCAGGAACCTGCTGTTCGGGGTCTAACTTACAGGGTTGATGAAACTCCTATATGTCCTATACAGTGCATCTCGGCTCCCTCCAGCTGAGGCGCAGAAAACCTCCCCCCTTGATGCCAAAACGTCCTCTCGTCTCCCTGCACACGGGGTTTGAGAGTTAAAGGCTTTCGAGGAATTTAGGTAGGCTTGAGTATCTGAGCTGTCCGAGCCATCTACCCCCTGAACCCTAAACCCTACACCCTAAGCCCTAAACCCTGAAAATGAAAACTCTTCTCCGGGCCTTCCCACAAAAGGACAACCAAAGGTTCAAAGCCAAGGATCTTCCCGGCGAAGTCACGAATACTAAGAAAGTGGCCTTAATACTTAGAATAGGGTTTTCGGGCAAATTATACTAGAGTTATGACAAGGAACCCCCAAAATAGTATAGGTAATAATAATAATAACAGTTTAGGCTCCTATATTACGCACTCCAGGATATCAGCCTCAGCTGCAGATTGAGCGCCTAGCAACTATCGAGATTCAGAGCTGTGAGGTCTCGGGCTTGGGCCTTGGGGGGGTTTGAAAGAGTCCTTTAGGTTTACTGAGCTTAGTGTCGCTTGGGGTATCGAAACCAAAAACCCTGAACCGCAACAAGTAAAGAAGAAAGTCCTACCAATCTTAAGCAACATCCTTGAACGCTTTGCCGATGTTCTCGGTTCGAGGCATAGCTTGCTGATACGGTTTCGTTCATTGGGCCTGCTTCGCCGGAAACAATTTCTGCTACACTCGGCGGAAACTACAGCGGAAACTTCAAGAACTTCAGCAACAGGCGATGTTGCGTAAAGTAGCTGAAAAAGGAAACCTCATCGATCCGGACTGCTGGCGAGCCTGTGAGATAGGCCATGCAGCCAAACTGGAGGACCTAGGAGAAGTCTGCTGATTCGGTTCCAGGGTCTCGGGTTGAGGGTTCGATGGGGGAGCTCTACCCTTTGGTGAGGGCCTATATATATATGGGTATATAATAGCTATATTAAGGGTATGTGGGGTTGGGGGCACTGGTGTTTAAAGGCACTTGAGAGTTTTCCGCATCGATGCTCCGTCATCTTGCACGGTGGTTGTGGAATTCAAGCAAGAGTTGTGAATTCTAGGAAGCCCTAAACTCTAAACCCAAACCCGAAATCCTAAACCCCTAAACCCTAAACGCCTAAACCCTCCTCTCTAGAAGTGGAGTCGGTAAGCCCTATCCCAAGCCGCCAAGGCTCGAAGGACGACCGAAACCCTCCACCACAAAACCCCTAGAGTTCAGGGTTTAGGGTTTATAGGGCTTCCTGAAAATAATGAGCCAAGGCAACGTAGACTTCATCACATTGCGTGGTCGGCATGAACGCATCCTCTCGGGACAACCAGGTTTCAAGCTCATTGCTGCCAAAACGACCCAGGAAGGTTTGATAGAGTAGGACTGTCAAACTCAGGGCATGCACCGCAGAAACCGGTCCTCTGCATAAGTCTTGAGATCTGGTACTGCTTGCTTGCAGGTAGAGGAGTAGACATAATTCAGCTTCAAAGTTTCCGGGCTCGGGAGAGATTTGCAGGCTTCGGGTTTGCGGGTTTGTGCTGGGCCTGGCTGGCCCTGATTACCAATGATGTGCACTGCACATCGGTCGAGTCTTGAGGCGTTCGAAAATCGCAAGATCGGAATTCCCCAATGCTCATACATCACCCGCCATCGCCCTCCCCATAGCTTGCCGCACAATCGACCGCTGTACACAATTACCACTAATTTTCACGGCGACACCAGCAACGCGGCGGTCTCCCTCACCGAAAACAGGCGACACCGGCAGCTATTCACAAGTTATACGTAAATGCCATTAAAACATACCATACTCAAATTCAACGACACCAGCCCGCAATCAACCTCTCTGCTAGGCAACGACCTGGAAGGCACCCTGAACCGCAAGCCCTTAACGGGACTTGAGCAGCATGTCCTCTCCGGATACGCAGACGTGCTCCACAAGCGCATTGTGGCATATGTTCCGAAAGAAGAAATAATCCTGTTTGGGGCTTGTTAGGGTTTACGGCTTAGTTTTTGTGGGTTCATTGTTTACGGTTTGCATCCATATAACTATCCAACAAAGTGTGTAGATGCATCATGTAAACGAGTTCGACAACGAGAGAGCTGCGACAAGCCGCAACGGTCATTCGCACCCAGCCACAGCCGAAAACCGGACAGTTTGGCTTGGCTTTACATGTTTAGGGAGGGATGGGCTCTGTTCACAGCTTAAAGAGCCGAAAAATCATGCAGGAGATGATGCCGGAAGAGATCTCGGTATACATACACAGGGTGCGGTTTGAATCGGCTTGAGGGGGACATGAAGCTACAGTGGCATGTACAGTGATCAACAAGGTGTAACTATGCTATTAGTGGCAGCATGGTCTGCCCTACGACGAAGACAGTCCTAAGCCCGAACCGAAATTCTAAGTTCCTAATCGAAGCAAGAATACGATCCAAGCCGGGATGTTCAGCATGTGGCTCTTGTGCGGAGAACGCAATACGGAGGCCTTTAGGCTTGGCTTGGGTGCATTCAATTGAAGACTAGATAACTAAACACATCTCTGCGCATTATATGTATGCATGTATATGTGTGTGTGTGAGTGTGCATGTATCGGCACTTCAAGTGAATAAGAATGACACCAGGCATTCAGACCGCTGCCTAAAGTTGAGGCTTGAGGGTTGAGGACCCCTATGCCTATGCCCTGAACTCAGGTCTAGAATGCCAGCTACCAACTCGTCCTCCGTGTGGCTCCACGTCGGCCAGATGCTCATGCTCACAAGACTCTGCATGTACATCTCCTGGGGCTCACACATTATGTTTTAGGGCCATTTAGCGTTTACTTCAATGGATTCCCTACTCACGGTCTGAAACAAGAAGAGGAGAAACAATCTTCTTCAAAAGCACTACGCCTGCGACCATGACTACGACTACTCCTGCTCCTACGACTACCACTACTACTACTACTACTACTACTACTACTACTACTACTACTACTACTACTACTACTACTACTACTACTACTGCTACGACTACTACTACTACTACTACGACGACTACTGCTACCACTACTGCTACCACTAGTACTCACAATTGCGACCGTTCCTCAAAGCCCCTCTTAGATGCCCGTGCCTCGTGAAGCTGCAGCTTCAGCCGCTCCTGGGTTCTTACTTGCAGGGTTTTTTGGGGGTCCATGTTCCCTAAAGATTCCTTCAAGGGTCTCTTTAAGGGGTCCTTTGAGGGTTCTTTTAAGGCTACACTCTAAGGGTTCCTTAAGGGTTCCTTTAAGGCTCCCTGTAAGGATTCGTAGAAGGGTTCTTGATTGGAGGGTTTTATGGAGTGAGTTTTCAAGCTTTGAGCGTTGAGGGTTTTGGGGTTTTGGGTTTATGGGGCTTGAGGGTTTGAGGGTTTGGGGTTTTGGGGGGTTTAGGTGTTTAGGGTTTATGGGGCTTCAGGGTTTGAGGGTTAGCGTTTAGGGATGAAGGGCTTAAAGGGTTAGGGCTTGTTTGCAGGTTCAGGGATCAGGGTTTAAAGATTTCGAGTGTAGAGCTCAAGATCTGAGGGGTTCGGTTACGGTTGTAGGCTTAGGATTCGCTCTAAGGTCTGGGCAACTTGCAAAGACAGCTCACGTAGCGAGAAAAGTAAGGTTTAGAGCTAGAGCTGTGCAAGTACGACACGGGCTGCTTTTCAGATTTGGGGGATGAGCACTGCTACATGGCTCCCTTGCAGGGCTTCAGGTCTATGAATACACTACGTGGCTTGCTTCTGACCTGCCCAACAAAAGATCAAGCACAGTTGAAGGTGCATGGAAACTCCGGCCGACAGTTTTCGCTTGACAACGCCAGGGTACGTTGGCCAGGCCTCAAAAGCGGTCCACTATCCCACACGAGCCCGGAAGCACGTAGCTCCAAGACCAAACAGAGCCAGGGAGCAGGAATGCGTTGCAAGAGGTTCACTTCCTTCTCCTTATCGGCAGGCGGTGAAGTCCGTGAGATTTATGGCTTATGGGGTTCCTCGACCCCCCCAACTACCCTCTACTATATCCCAAATACCCTCTATTAAGGGCCATAAGGGCTGTATTAGAGGGTCCTGGTTCATAGGGTTTAGATTAAGACTCTGGAGCCTGGACCCTCCACAAACTTAGCCCAACCTCCTGTTTGGCACTCCCGAGGCTCCATGGGGGCTTTCCTTGCGGCTTTCTTAGCAGATCGACAAATCTAGGCGAAGGATTCAACATTCTATGCCGTTGGGTTTCGGATGAAAGATTTCTAGGTTCAGGAACTTTGCGCCACTCATTCCGATGTCAAAATATGCCTGACTAATTCAGCCCTCTCCCCGAGGATCATACGGAGCTACTTGTACAATTTTTCTCAAGCCTCTATCTTACAGCTACAGGCTTTCGCTTATTGATTATGTTTGCTGGTGGTTCGTGGCTTACAAATGTCCGTGCACTTCTTGTGAGCTCTGGCGCGTTTCACCGCAAATCAAGTCGGGCTTCGCAGGGCTTAAGATGCTGAGTAATTAGTTCAGCAGGCTAGCAGCAGAGTCCACACAATTGTTTGGTGTCACAACATCTCAATTCTGTGCATGTTGCAATGATCTCAATGATCTGACTGCAGTGGTTCCAAGCTGCCGTTGAGGCAACAAGCACCTCCTGTCAGCTTCAGCTTGTTCCATGGCATCGTCTTGGAAGGCTTGGTTGTGGTTTTTGCCCTCCGGAAAAGTTCTCCGTCGAGACACACTCAAACACCCAGTAATTTGGAAAAACAGATGCAGCTACTTCTTGTGGCAGGCCGCCTGCAAGCGCACTTCAGTCTCGCCCTCTGTCCGCAACACCTCCACTCACAGCGCATGCTCAGGCTAAGAATCCGTTCTATCACAGCTCCTCCCGAAACAGCAATACTGTATCCGTCAACCCATATAAGCAACCCTGCACCCAGCTGATCAGAGTTTACAGCAACGGTTTCGGGCCCACAAGCATTCTGATAAATGTGATGTTACATGAAGGGTTGTCAGAAACACTATCAGCGATGCCGATTTTTCAGGTTCCTACATGAGGCTGCGTCACAGTCCCACGGGACCACTTAAGATCACCAAACAACAGCAAAGTCGTAAGTTCAGGGCTGAGGGTTGAAAGCCTTGTAGGGTAGCATTGAAAGTTTCAGTTTAGAGTCAGACCAACAGAAGAAAGACATTCAGCAACGACGAACAAGAGGACATGGCAGGAACAGTGTGGAACGATGCACCGAACTCTAAAATCAAACCTACACCCCAAACCCTAAACCCTTAAACCCCTAAACACGAATGCTCTGAAGAGAATTCCGGGAACCGTAGCTTGGAGCGAGCCTCGTGGATCTTACCATAGAGGTCCACGGAAAGATTCCTTCAGGTTTAGGTCTGGTGAGTTTGGGTTTGGGCTTTAGGGGTTTAGGGTTTATGGTTTAGGGTTTAGGGTTTAGGGGTCTGTTGAGTTGGAGACGTAAGGCATGGGCTGTGGGGTTGTAGCCGGGTGGCGGGCTGGACTCATGCTAAAGGCGCGTACTTGGCAGGCCTTTAACCGTGTTTCCTTTCTTCCGATTACCTTATGACTCACTTTGCGAGTACAAGATCTCAGCCACTGGCTGAATCAACAACGTAATTTAGCATCGCCGATGTTTCAATCAGCCGGCACCCGGCAGAGACAAAGATTACCATGCTCCGACTCGAATGCTAGTGTTGCCGGCATGCTGTTTACCCGTTAGCCCTAACCCTCCGGGTCGGACGTTTGAGCCGTGCTGCCGTCTCCTTCACTTTTGCCATGCATTAGGTACCTGTCTCTGCTCCATCTTCTCAATCATGATTACCTTACAGATCGCAAATTCGTAAGAAGTTCCAGGTCCCCTCGCGCATATACGGGTCGTCCTTTCAATGAAGAACTGGAGCATCTTGTTGGACTTCCGCTGCTGCTCCACTCGCGCTGCACGGATGTTGTTGACAGTGTTGCCTGGTTTAGGGTTTAGGGGTTAAGGGTTTAGGGTTTAGGGGTTTAGGGGTTTAGGGTTTATAGGGTTTAGGATCCAGGGTTAAAAGTTTAGGGTTTAGGGTTGCCTCGACTGGGTCTTGTGCTGCCTCGTGGGAGTGGATAGTGACCTTCTCATGAGGATTGGGGGTATCAGGTGGCGAATGCCTCGTGATCGACAGTCACGGTTGCAAGAGCTACAGCAGTAGCAGTAGCAGGAGTAGTAGTAACAAGCAATAGTAGTAGTAAGAAGCTGTAAAAGCAGCAGATGCAATAGCACTATAAATAGTAATGAGTAACGGGCTAGTTAATAGTAGCAGTAGTAGTAGTAGTAGTAGCAGCAGGAGTAGTAGCAGTAGTAGTAGTAGTAGCAGTAGTAGTAGTAGTAGTAGTAGTAGTAGTAGGAGGAGGAGGAGGAGGAGGAGTGGTAGTAGTAGTAGTAGTAGTAGTAGTAGTAGGAGTAGGAGTAGGACTAGGAGTAGGAGTAGTAGTAGTAGTAGTAGTAGTAGTAGTAGTAGTAGTAGTAGTAGTGGTAGTAGTAGTAGTAGTAGTAGTAGTAGTAGTAGTAGTAGTGGTAGTGGTAGTGGTAGTGGTAGTGGTAGTGGTAGCAGTGGTAGTGACGGACTAGAATCTCTGTGCCGTTGGAAATGTCACTTTTTAGCTGCCAGCCAAGGGCTTATGGATCCAACGAAGGACGAGAACACGCCCATGGCCAGGAGAATGACCACAACGGCGAAGAACCTGCAACGACACTCACTGTGCCCACGGTGATGTTCTTACACAAGCTGCTTGTTGTTAGAAGAAGATTTCGACACTTTCCGAAACGACATAGGGCGTATCATTTTGAGATCACGGATGAGCTGTATCGCCGACGATGCGGCGGTGCCTGCGTTCGTATTGATTGCAATGCCAAGTTGATGCATACATGCACAGATACCACGTATTGGTCCCTCCAGTTCAGCGGATGAAGTCTGCAAGCTGTGACGGCCTTGCTTCATATGCTCAGAGCTACAAGGCACGTAGAACCTTGACAAGGCTGCCCTGGTTTGGACCCAATGCTGCCTTCAAACCCGCCGCAGAGTTCTTGCTTCTCTGACAGGCAGCCCCATGCATACTACGACCAATTTACTGGGGCTGCACCTATAAGGCCGCATGCGCCACACTCCACAGCTCCTAGTCTGAAGGGAAGCACAGACTACACACTCCTGTCAGACCTATCAGCTGTGTTACGTTGTTAACGTCAGTGCTTCTGATGGCTCCACTTGTCTCAACGTTAGCCCATGTCAGGAATCGATTCTCATCAGGAGATTTCTGCAAGGGAAGCATTTGATCAAAGCTGATGCCAACAAGATCGAACATGCATTGCGAATCATGCACCGCACACGCCAAGCCAGGGAACGAGGTGACACTCGACATGGTTCTCATGCTCAGCAAGTCTGGGTACTGCAGCCGGTAATTGCGAGCATGATGACGCGACGAAGACGATCAGTCTGATTGTTGTAGCTGCGAAACTAACGACAGGGACGGTTTGTGAAAGTACAGGGCGACTGATGATGACTAGGATTAAAATCGTTATTGCTACTGTTTTGTTGTCGATTGCGACACTGGTGGTGGAGACACCAACAGGAGCAACACCTTCACACGACGCCTTTCACGATTTGGATTTAAAGTGCTGGTCGTCATAACCATAAAACTGACTTACATGCTATGCCCCGCCTCTCGAAAACATTGAGGGGCGCGATGTTGTTCGTGGCTGGCGTGAACTGGGTCAGTGCCTCTACAAAAGGCCGGGGTTTCGAGGCTTGGGGTTCCAGAGTTCAGGGTCAAGGTCGAGGGGTTGCATCCTTGGGCCCTTCGGCTTCAGGGCTTTCAGTGTCATGTAGACCGCGACCAGCAAACGCTTCATAACTAGTTGAAAACGACTTCTAGTAGGAATACAGGATCCCTACGCTAGCTTTGTCACCCGATGCCTTTTCCGGCTTGAAGATTGAAAGTCTCTAATGCCCAGCGTCACCCCATGGATATGTATCTACCAGAAGGACATGACCGAGAAAACAGTTGCAGCTTCCTGTCGGCATCTTTGCTAAGGCAACGTAAACCAGGAATTCAAGTCAAGACGCTCTTGGGTATTTCCTGACAGAACTAGGTTTGATCAGAGTTGTTGTTTCCGTCACCCTTGTCCGTTTAGAAATATTTGACAGAGCCCTTTATCTATATCCCTTAATAGGAATTATTTAAGAAGGTCTACTAGCCGGTCTGTTTATTCTTTTGGGGGAACCATGAAAAAGGACAAGGCTGGTTTCTGTCTCCTGTTGCCCTGACCTCCTTAGCACTGGCAGCTCAGGGTACCAATCATCCTGAGGAGCCGACCCAGTGCAGCGAGGCAAAATACATCTCTGCGAAATCCTCCTGTGATAATACTAGTAATATTAATATGAATAATAACATTATATAGTACCAATAATAATGATATTCATACTTAAAACAAAACCAGGAATGGTAATTCATGATCATAGAAGGGAGTGCGGTAGGATTTGGGCTTCAGGATTCTCGGGCCTCATGCTCTGCGGCTCTAGGGTTAAAAGTTTTGGGATCGGGCGAAGTTAGCTTCCGAGAGTTAGGGTGCAGGCTTTGCCAGATAGGGGACTCATAGGGATTCACCAGGGGATAAAAGATTCAAGCAGAGAGAGGTGTGTGTGTGTGTGTGTGTGTGCGGACAGGGAAAGCGAGAGATTGACAAAGAGAGAGCGAGAGAGATTGAGACTCTGGGAGTGTGTAAGTAGGGTAAAGTCCTTAGCGCATGGATGACAGGTACCTCACATACAAGCAACCCCCGGTAGATGCCTCCCAACAAGCTGACCTTGCCAAACGAATCCCTAAACAATCCCCTTAACCCCAAACTAAACGGGTCCTCTGGAATCCCTAAACAATACCCTAAACCCTAAACTAAACGGGTCCATGATGTACAGATTCCTGTATTTGGCGCGCACCGACCAGGTACAAGCCAGTCCGCCAAAACAAAACTAGACGGGTCCTGATTCAGCTCCGGATTCTCGATCCAGCTCTTCGTAGGTCCGAACTCTATTGCACTCCTCCGCCACTGTGGGACTTCCAGGCTTTGGTCTCAAGCTGCGGGAACCCAGAGACTCCAATATCCCTTAATTAGGGGATATTCCTTTTAAATCATACTAAGGGATCCTACTATAGTAAGTATACTGTAGTATAGTTTCAGGAATATTCCTTAAAATTGAGGGATCTTGGAGTCTCTGGGGCTCCCAACTGAAGTGCTACGGTTGATGGTATAAATCCTGCATGACCTTAAGGACCCTAAACTATGGGAATAATGGTATATTCCTTATTATGGGTAATGCAGGATTTATATCATCAACAGTAGGGTTGGGCATTCTTCAGCTTCCAGCAATTAGTCTCGGGTTTGGGGGCTTTGGAGGGTCAGGCTTTGCAGGTGTCGGACGGTACTCTGTCGTGTCCGGGACCATCCACAAACTGATGGACTCTCTATCACTGGCACTGCGGACATCGTCTATTTGGATATACTAAAGACAGCCTGCAAACCCCCAATCCCACCCTCTCAGTTCGGCAACCCTCTGTCCATGAACCCAGGCCATACCAGCAGCAAGCGATGATGTGGTTGATGGCAAGCATCATCATGAGGTATGAAATCACCTCGGGAGGCTCCTAAACCCTCAACGAGTTTAGGGTTTAGGGTTTGAGGTTTTCTGTGCTCGGTCTCGGAGCAAATCAACCCACACCCACCACCTCCAGAAGTATGGGATCGGACTTACTCCCGGATCGGGCATGGGTGCTGGATGCCCTGAAAAATCAAAATCAGAACCTCTAGGTTCCTGAAAATCAGAATCAGAACCTCTAGGTTCCTGCAGTGAAGGAGTGCAGGGCAGTGCAGGGTATCCCTTGGGGATCTTAAGGCTGATTGTGTTAGGGCTTGGGGTTGGGTGGGTTTTTGGGTCTCGGGCTGGGGTACATCTCATCTTTGGAATCTGTGATTGCACTGCTGAAGGGCTCATAACCTAATGGATTCCGAGGACAAATATCTACTGCCCTGGTGTCAGCAAAGATATGAGCCTCCACATGACTCACACTTCGATTTCACTCACTCTGCAGAACTCACAAGCACCCCGACCGGCCACCTTGATGACCATGAACGCGTGAGTGGACAGGAAGCCTTGCCGGGAGCTTCTGGAAAGAAGGACGGATGAGCTGAACTCCCTCGAAACCTCAAAACTGAAGTCCCTCGAAGCCTCAAAACACCAGACTCGAAACCCCAAATGCACGACTCAAAAACATAGGGCCTTTAGGCTTGTCGACTGATGGGCTTTAGGCTGCAAGTCCTAAATCCTGCACTGAAAATGCTGACGGTTTAGGGTTTAGGGCATAGCAACAACAACAACAATTGCAATAGCAAAAGTTAGAATAGGACTCATAGTAATAACGACGCTACTTAGTCTTACTAACTAGTGCCCAGTACTAGCTCGAGCAATAATCAAAGTCGTACTAGCAATGGCAGTAAGACTAGTAATGATGGTAGTGATTCTAATGGTAGTACTAGCGTGGGACATCGGAACCCCGTATATACAGCTGCCACCCAAACCTTCGACCGAAGAAGGCGGGTTTGCAGGTTACGGATGCAACTTTTGCAGGACGGTGGGTTTGGGCTGAAGACTTGGGGGCTTTGGTTGAGATCGAAACGACTCTTCCGGATGTAATTCCCCAATGGAAACCTCCGGGATCCTCCTGGTGTCGTGGTGGTAAATGAAAGAGCCAGAAGGGGCAAAGGGGAGCGAGACGGAGAGAAAGAGAGAGAGAGAGAGAGAGAGAGAGAGAGGGAGACAGGGACACAGACAGAGAGACAGAGCGAGAGCAAGAGAGAGGGAGTAGATCATATTCCATCTGTTTTCCCCTTTCGGACAGTCGTACATGACAGAAAAATCTCGAGCACCGAAGCCGCTCTGAAAAGAGGCAAGGTGCGGTTGGCAAGCAGGGTGAGCTCACGCTGAAGCTTCGCCACACGCAGAAGTCGGATAAGCCGCAGGAGTCCTATCTTCGCGAAGTTAAGGGCTTAATTGCCTACTACCGGGACCTTCCCTAAACCCTAAACTCTACTTGGAGGATCATGAGGCTTAGTAAGTAGGGTTCTAAGTACCTTAATTAAGGTTATATGTACTTATAACTGTAATTACCATACTCAGAACCCCAATTACTAAGTCCCATGATCCTTCAAGTAACAGTATCCGGACTTCGAGGTCAGCGGTTCCCGAATGTTGAGGTGTAGGCACTGAGAAAGACTAGCCGAGGCAGAACGGGCTGCAAGATACGAAGGGCTCAGGGTATAGAAGGTGTATACGGGTGGTTGTTTATGGTCCCTTTTTGGGGTCCTTAATATAATACGGCACCTAATATTTAGGGTACCCAAAAAGGGACCATAATCTTGACAACTACCCATATAGCTGGAACAACTTGCGAGCCTGGGATCATCTAAGCACCCGGCAGGGTGCCACTGAAAATAGCGCAGCCCTCAAGACTGAGCAACGCGCGCCTCCTTCGAAAAACAGCAACAAAACCCCTGCGAAACCATGACAAAAGCCTTCTGTAACGAACCCTAAAACCTAAACCCGAAAGCATAAAACCACTGCAACCACAACGCTTGGACGAGTAAGCCGAGCATCTCAGGGTCCGCAGGTATCTGGCGGAACGGAACACAGCGCCTCCCACATCGGCGACATGGATCGCCTCTGTGTTGTACGCGGAGGATCAAGGGAATCCGTAAGCAAGGATATAAGTACCTTAAACTGAACTATAAGTAATGATAACTCTAGTTCCCTTACTCGTAGTCCCAATTACTCATGAGCCCCACGAACCTTTAAGTAGGATAAGCTTAGGGCATCTGATTTCGACACCCTGAACATCTCTTGAGGGTATTCTAGGAGGTGGGCGTCGGGAATGTAGGGTTGCAGTTGAAGTTTTAGGATGTCGGCATAGGATAATATCGTGGCGTTCACAGCATATACCACATAAATTACACGGGGTCTATGAGGGACATTTCTAAGAATTCTCTCGACCTCTATGGGTTCAGGATTTTTGGGGGGGCGCAGGAAGTCTTGCTTTATGGACGTTTCACCGCCTTGCCTTGGCTCCAGGACATCTCATCAAACTGTAAGTCCATAAAAACACCCTGCTACGGGCTCCTTGTCTATAAGGGCAGATACACAGCAAAACAGGGTATCCCGGTCAAAATTCCTATGCCTTCAGACCCCAATGCCTTAACCAAAACCGTGAAACCAAAGACAGTCAATGCTAAAACCCCTCCCCAAGACCCCAAAGCACTACACCCTGAACCCTCCTAAACCCTTAAACCCCAAACTCTAAACCACTAAAGCCTCAACCCTAACTCCTATATCCCAGACCCGGAACCCCCTAAACCCTAAACCCCTAAACCGAAGCCCTATAGATCCCTTATGCATCCCTTTAAAGGAACCCCTATAGATCCCTTTAAGGAGCCCCTGAACCCCGGAGCCCCAAGAGGCCTCCATGGTGATGAGGACAGCATCGAGGGACACGATTGCGACGTCGGCGGCAAACCAGGAGCCTTTTGCAGGTTCTCTGATGGGAGGCCAAAAGGGGGTTTAAGGGTTTATAGGGTTTAGGGTTCCAACCTTAAACCCAAGAACTGATACCATGGGGGCCTAAAGAATTTACAAATACTATTTTGGGGGGTTCCATATTATGAAGATAGTATAATGGGCCCCAAAACCCTATTCTAATTATAAAGGCCCTGCAGTATCAAACCTTTGAGGCTTTATAATGGGAGGCTAAAAGGGGGGTTGAAGATTCTTGGGGTGGGGGATTCCTTAATATGAACCCTATTCTAGGAACCCTAATCCCTACTAAACCCCCACAGGCTAAAACCCCTTCTGGCCTCCTATGACTCTCCGGTTTGGGGGCTTTTAAGCTTGGGGGTTTAGGCGTGGGGGATTTTGAACGTGCGGGTTTAGGGTTTAAGGGTTTAGTGTCTAAGAGTTTAGGGTTTAGTGGTTTAAGTATATACTGCATTTCAGGGTTAGGGGTTCAGAGGGTCTGGGGTTCAGGAATTAGAGTTGCGGCTTAAACTAGGTGCAGGGTCGGTGCTTGGGGGGCGGCAAATGGTTTGGGGTCTGTAGGGATTCTAGCGCATGGGATATTGCAAAGCGTTGGCCCCGCACAGCTCAGTCGGACAGTTACCAAAACAACCTGAGAAACCAGGTGGGGGTTTCCGAAAATAGCTATTATAAGGACCCCAAACTAAGAGACCCCCGAATTTTCGGAAACTCCCTGTCAGAGTAGAGTCCAACACTCACGAGGAGTCACGAGGAAGCTGTTTGCAGTGTTCTGCCGCGACACCCATGCAAAACCCTCTCAGGAAACTTAAGGAACACGAGTTGCATAACCAGAAAAGACTAAAGGCCGCAAACACTCTAAACCCTGAAACCCCGCAACTTAAACGCTACATCACCGACATCCCAATTGTCATCTTTTTCTTCATCCTCACCGTCGACAGACGGGGCACGTCAACAAAAAAGAGCAACACGGACCAACGGATGGAGAGAGATAGAGAGACAGAGACAGAGACGGAAAGAGTGACGGGTTAGGGGTGAAACCGAAAGAGAGTTTTAGGCGGAGACAGACGAGATCGACAGGAAGCGCAAGCTATGGATTGACCCAACCCATCTCTGCTGCCATGGTGCGAAGGTACATCCGGGCCAGCACGCGCGGACGCAGCTCAACCATTCCTGCCAAAGAGCCGTGGCATTCCGGCTTCAGACGTGTGATACCTAATCAGCAAGAAGCAGTCGCAGTACCAGTAGCGGTAGCAGCAGCAGTAGCAATAGCAAAGAGGAGGAGCAGTAGTAGCAGTAGCAGTAGCAGTAGCAGTAGCAGTAGCAGTAGCAGTAGCAGTAGCAGTAGCAGTAGCAGTAGCAGTAGCAGTAGCAGTAGCAGTAGCAGTAGTAGTGGTAGTGGTAGTAGTAGTAGTAGTAGTAGTAGTAGTAGTAGTAGTAGCACAGATGTAGTAATAGTAGCAGTAGTAGTAGTAGTAGTAGCAGCAGCAGCAGCAGCGGTAGTAGTAGTCGTGGTAGTTGCAGTCAAGGTCGCGGTGGCGGTAGCAGCAGCAGCAGTAGCAGTAGCAAGTAGCGATAGCAGCAGTAGCAGTAGTTGCAGTAGCAGTAGGGTTAGGAGGAGCACTAGCAGCAGCAGCAGCAGCAGCAGGAGTAGTAATCGTAGTAGTAGTAGTAGTAGTAGTAGTAGTAGTAGTAGTAGTAGTAGTAGTCGTAGTAGTAGTAGTAGTAGTAGTAGTAGTAGTAGTAGTAGCAGTAGAAGCAGTAGCAGTAGTAGTAGCAGCAGTAGCAGTAGTAGTAGCAGTAGTAGTAGTAGTGGTGCATAGAAGTAGTAGAAAATAGAAATACAGATAGAGGTAGAGGTAGAAGTAGGAGCAGCCTTAGCAGTCGTCGTCGCATTCGAATTACTAGTGTTGTTATTGTCATTTTATGGCTGTTTTCGATTTGTATTGGGAGTAGAATAGTAGTAGTTGTTGTTGGTGGTGTTGTAGTAACAGTAGTGGTGATGATAGTAACGGCAGCAGCGGCAACACGTAGTAGTAGAAGGAGGATAGCAGTGGTAGTGGTAAGAAACCTTCACGCGTTTTTTGATTGTGGTTGTGGTTGTTAATCGTGCTGCAGCTGACGATGGTGACAGTGGTGATGATGATGGTGTCGCTGTCGCTGTCGCTGTGGTTTTTGTAGTGGGTGATGTTGGTTGTTGCTGCTCTGGAAGAGCAACCGCACCCTAAACCCTAAACCCTAAAACCCTGCCTTCCAGCTGCACTCCAAAGATGAAATGCAGAGGGATGTCCAGAAGCCAGAAAGTAAACGATAGCAGTCCTTGGCCGGTGCACGGTCTCAGCGCACATGGGAAATAAGGTTTAGGGGGTTTTGAATCAGCTGCTTTGGGTTTGATAGTTTCGTACCATTCTGGGTAACAAATACAGGTTAGACTCTTTCAAGTGGACGGCATAGAAATCTTCGAGATGCGATCACCCTGCCTTCACAATAAACTGCGCTAACATACATACATGCATACACACACAGCGGAAGAAGCTCGGGACGAAATGGCTCAAGAGTCCAAGAAATAAAGACAGAATACCTTGCCAAAAGAAGTCGCATAAGACTGGGTGGAGGAGAGCCCTGAGTCCGTGGACCATGGGCCAAAGACAATACCGTGAAGATTGGAACCAAAAACCCACAAATCTCAAACCCTAAATCTGAACATGGGAACCAAAACCTACAAATCTCAAACTCTAAACCTGAATAATTGTTCAAGCCAGGGCACCAATGGTGTCCAGAAAGGAAGTGAACGACGGGATCGAAAACCTCGAAGCCATCAAGGAACCATCAAGACGCTTTCGGGGTTTATGGGTTTGCGGGTACCTACAGTGAGAGTTACCATAAGGGTTGCTGTAAGAGTTCTGCAGAGGTTAAGCGTTTAGGCCAAGTTTAAGGCCCAAGCATTGGAAGTTCTGTTTACGCCTACGCTTTACGAAGCCTTATGTGGTTCGGGATTTAGGAATCAGGTTTCAGAGCTTCCAAAGCCGTATCTTCTACCTTAAAGGTAGTGCGCAAACTGGGGTGTCCTGTTTGTAAGGGTGCCGTACTATGTCTCTGACCTAGTTAAGAGAACTAACTACCCATGTGTATCCCGTAAGCTCGGATGGATTTGAGTTGGGGTGTGACGATCAAGCAACCCATCGTGGGTTCTCGACATAGAGCAGAAACCAAAAACATCCAAAATCAAGACTACTCAGAACAAAACAGTCATAAGAATGAGGAGACGAACTATCATAAGAGTAATCAAAGTAAAACTATGATTTTTTGACTGGCAACTCAGAAAAGTAAAACTATGAAAAGAAAGAATACCCATAAAGCCTAAACCCTGGAGGTTTGGACTGAGGTTTGGCACCTCACAAGAGGGCCATAGGGGGTTCGCGGAACTCGAGTGGATAGCAAAGGTTTACACCCGGGAGACTTAGCGCGCTGGGACCTTAATCCTATGATCTTATTGCCGCTGATAGCGGCAATCATATCATTATCATAGTTGTTATTATGGTTGTGAGAGTATTATGAGCATTATGCTTAAAGAGAGGCCGACATCCGACATCTCCTCGGGCGGGGGAAAGATGCAGCTCGCTCGGGCTTCTTCATGCCCCTGTTTGAGTCCATGACCCTTTACAGTAGAAGCCAGAAAGTTGGAATATCATTATCGTAGCCCCTTTAAGGTAAATTATAGGGGATCCTACCATTAAACCATGTTCCAGCTTTCTGGAGTTCCCTGTAAGCCTAAGACTCAAAACATGACCAAGCAGTTTGAGGCACATCTCCAGCGGGATGGTAATCAGATCCCACAGAATCAGAAGGGAAGAGCACATTGACCACGTCAGTTGCCATTTGCCTGAGCTTGCTGGAACATGAACTCAAAATTCAAGGTGTGGCCGTGGCTCTGGATTGCTCCAATCTTCTCTGACTTTGTAACGAAATTTCATTCGTCTGACTTGTGGGTCTTCACGAACTACCCTGAACAGGTAAGTACTTTGTGCCAATGGCCGAAGAGCCGCATTGTGTCACAAATAGATGGCCGGCCGTCTTTGAACACACAACCGATGGAGCACAAACACGAATCTGGCTTGGCCCACTGCTGGGGATAAGTTGCTGGCGATCATGCTCGAAATACAATGAACGGCTCCCCCCAACACCCTCAAGCCCCATGTCTTGAACACCCAAGAGTTTGCAGCTAGCATATATCCGAGCAGTCAGGCAGGAAGAATGAAGAAAAAACAGCTGGAATGTGTGGCGAAGTCGAACGTGCAAAACCTCCCTAAGTCAACATCATCGAGAGTCTCTGTGGCCCGACGACGAAGCGCTGCAGACAAGATCTTTCGTCCATGAATGCATCCTGGGTCGGCCATTCTCGGTTCGATTGTTGTATGCTAGTGTAAGGTATAGTATACTATCCTATATTATGGTGTGTACATATATGTGTATATATATATATATATGTATACTGAGAGAGAGTGAGAGAGAGTGAGAATAGTATGGTATGTGTCGGGTTTAGGCTCCAGGGCTCCGGGAGGGCGTAGTCGATAAGCTGCCGGGTTTGACCGAACACACGACTCAGCTGAGGCTTCGCATTCCTGTGAATGTGGGAAACGGCAACTCCGTGAATCAGATGTTTCGGTGATATAGCGGTCTGTATAGTTGGAATAGGATTTTTCGGGGTACATTACGGTTGATGATAAAAGTCCTGCATTACCCATGATGCATGAAGAAAATACCATAATTCCCATAGTTCAGTCCTTAGATTAATGCAGGATTTATATCACTAGTATCATTACACTATACATATAATAGGAGGCCCTCACGAATAAATTGACCAAATTGACCATAGTTGATCATTCAAGCTTCTAATGGCCTACATAATTACCAATACTATTTGTTGGGGGCGCCTTCTTGTAATTACCGTTTTATGGGCCTCAAAACCCTATTCTAATTACTGAGGCCCCTATACTACGCTTCTTGCCGAGGCTTGAATTGAGGTGCAAGGTTGAGGGTCCAGGATTTCGACATGTGAGGCTCGGCTTGTTGGATTGCCGGCTTATTGCTATCAACTATAGTTTTGAGGCTTCAGGCTCAGAATTATGCCGGCCCAGCCTTAGACAACTATCAACCCTGAACCCTAAACCCTTGAACTTTAATTGAGACCTAAACCCTAAACCCTCCAAGATCTACAATTCTGCGTTGAGGCTGGAAGTTCGGTGGTCCTGGGATGTCCAGGTTTCGGTGTCACAGTTGGGGTTTCACGGTTTGTGTGTCTGCCTGGACGTTCGCATTATCAAGACTGCATGGGCATGCGATTGGGACTTTGAGAACAGGATGCGGTACCGGGCTTCCAAAATCGCGAATGCATCCCAAACAAGAGCTCAGGGGCGTTTTCGTCAGCCTTACCTACGACTTGCGCTTCTGCCTGAAGTTGCTCTTGAGTTGAGACTGCATCACGTGCCAAGCATCGTTCACGCGAAAGGAGGAGCTCACATTCGCGTGAGACACACGTGGCTTCCTGCGGGGAGGCAAAAGCGGCATATTACAGGGGCCTTACAAAATTGGAATAGGGGTTTGGGGCCCATTATAATATGATTTCAATAAGGAGCCCCCACAGTAGTAAAGGTGATTACTAAGGTCCCTATGTTAGGCATTCGTGTTGCTGGAACTTAGATTCCGCCGGCTATGAAAGTCATGAGGATGCTGACCATGATGGTGACCGGGATGAAGACCGTGACGATGGAGATGACCATGATGATTTTGTTCTTGATGGCTTTTGTCCTAGCGAGCTCTTCTCATCGAAAACCCGCCCTAAAGAGGTGTCAGTGTCTCTATCATGAGAAATATATGAGTCGAGGTACCTCGGTTTAGGGTCCGATGGCTCCCAACCTAACGGTTCAGAACCTACTTGGAGGATCATGGGACTTAGTAAGTAGGGTTATACGTACCTTCATTGGGGTTACACAAATTATATCTGTAGCAACCTTACTTATGACCCCAATTACTGAGTCCCATGATCCTTTAAGTACTGGCATCACGAGCTTCTAAGAACTCCCTCACTCAGCACCACTTCCGGTGAAAAGGCCAGACTCCATGATTTTGTCATCTCCCACAGGCAGACGCCGGTTGAGCATGTCTCTTCAACTTGTGACCCAAACCCCAGAAGCTAAAGTTGAGGAAAGAACAACTTGAAGCTAGCCGTCAAATTCAGCTCCCGAATTAAGCTATATAGACTCCAAACAAACAGTGCTCGCACACTAGACTTACGCCTTGAAACGACACACCTGCCCGCCCATCAACCCCCGCTCCAAACCCCGAACAGCCCGTTCCCTGACGCAACTACGGCCAACTGCGTTACCAACATATGGGTGGTTGTCAAAATTATGGTCCCTTTCTGGGTCCTTAATATAGTACGGCACCTCATATTTAGGGTACCCAAAAAGGGACCCTAATTTTGGCAACCACCCATATTTATCTTCAACCGTACCCGTCTCGAAACCCCGAACTGAAACTCCCCAACCCCCAATGAATAGTCCGAAACCTCCGAAACCCCCCATCCGGTTGCCTGCGGAAGAAGAGCTTAGGATTGTCAAGCACCGAAGCACACCACACCTGATAGAGTTCCATTTGGGGACTTCCGAAAATAGGGGACCCTAATATGGTACCCTAAATGGTTGGATCCTTAATATAGGGACCCCGAACTAAGGTGCCCGTAATTCTCGCAAAGTCCCATTTGCTCCCAGAGGTCAGGGCCAAAGGTTACAGTATGTTTTATTCCTTCAGGCTTGAAGGCTTCGTGGTGTCAGGGTTGATACCTGCAGGGTCCAAGGGCTTAGATTTCGATTTTCGGAAAGGCTCGATCCTGTGACCTGTGTTGGGTTGGTTCATGGTAGTATATATGGACAACTGTCGCTGAGAGAGCTGGGATGTCTAGCATAGTATCACCGTGCCACCAGCTCCTCTACTATCCCTAAACCCTAGTTCAAGCCTCTAGTATTGGGCGAAGCCTTCTGGTGTGAAAAGGTTCAGGTTCTGGGCAGACCTGTCCTGGTCCTATTCTCATGCGAAAACCCTAGGACTAATCTGACGAATCTTTCAGGCCTCCGCACGAAGCAAGACTTCGATGGTTTCTGGTGACTTTTCCAGGGCTTTGTAAAAGGCTTCGCCTGTCTGAGGGTACTTTAATTTGGCGTCCTTATAATAAGGATCCTACTATTCAGGGCACTCTTTTTAGGGTCCCCTATTTTCGGAAACTACCCTTTCTTTGTGGGTGTCAGGATCTTGGGCTTCGGGGACCAGCAGAATCGTCAACGACCCCAACCCCTAAACCCCAACCCTAAACACTAACTAAACTCAAGAGTGACCTAGGAATAAAAAGGGTGCCCTTTTTGGTTTTAAGGGGCTTATAAGGGAACAAGGGAATAAGGGCCTACTCTAGGTCCTAGCTAACCCAAACCCCAAAACCTTAAACCCGAAAGCCCTCAACCCCAACTAAAATCAAAACAGTCTGACTCTGAAGGGCGACTAGAAGCTGCCGTTGCTTCTAAGCTTCTAAGGGGCCCCGGGACTAGGGCTAGCTTATATCCAAGGGTAAAAGCAGGGACCCATAATAAGGACCCATTATATAGCCCCATTATAGGGTAGGGGTCCCCATTAAGGGTCCCTCCTTTTCCCCTTTGATTATAGGGGTTACAGGGTTTATTTATGTCCGAAACCTGAGGGTTTTAGCGCAACCCCGAAGTCGAAGTGCTGCACCCCGAAACCCGTTGGCTGGCGTTTAGGACAGCAGGGCTTCAACTGTAGAACGATACAGCTTGAAGATACTCTACGAAGACTTAGGAGCTAGAAGAGGCGGATTTTGGGCTTCGGCCTGAGGGTGTAAGTCAGGTACAAGTCATGACTGTCTCGTGATCCTGGCGAGGTATTCTCGGGTCCTGCTGCCAACAAGGCGGCGCTTTCAGGCTGCGCAAGATACGATCCCAAGTCTTCATGGTCAAGCCACAACCACTATCAGCACACCATTCCAGATATGAGCGCTGTGACTCCGGCTACGTCACCGACCCAACGCTTGCCAGGCAACCCTCAACACCGGATGACACCGAAAATTAAGAAACCTTAGCCTGCATCTACACTCTCAGCCAGGACAGCTAGCCCCAAAATTCTACGCCGTGACGGGAAAGCTCCCTGAACCCGATAGACCCTACATGTCATGTTACGGCATAGTTTTGGGTGTAAGCTTCGACCTTCTAGCTTCCTAGGCCAAAACCCAGTGCCCTCAGCCTGCCGCATGTGAAGCTCCTCCGAATCCTGCTCGTGCTCCAGGCACAGATACTAGACCTAAGAGTAACCTAGGAATAAAAAGGGTGCCCTTTTTGGTTTAAAGGGGTTTATAAGGGAACCTAAACCCTCGAAAAAGGGAATAATGGCCTGCTCTGGGTCCTAGGATAAGGGAGTTTCCGAAAATTAGTGGTACAGTATTTTGGGGTCCTTGCAATAAGGATCCTACTATTTAGGGTACTATATTAAGGTCCCCATTTTTCGGAAACTCCCATAAGGTTTAGCGTTATAGTCTCCATTGTAGTTCCTTGTTTGGTTAACCAATTCTATGGTTAGGATCCCATAATGGAGTTTTTGGTTAACCAAAAAAAGGAACTACAATGGAGACTATAGGTAGCGTCTAGGGCGAAGGGTATGGGGTCCCGGATTTATGATGTACAGTTTCGGGTTCCGGGGACAGCTCGTGACTTGGTTGGAGTCTGAGGCCTGTGTGTTTCAGAAGCCACGAGCTCGTCTTAGACATTCTCTACCTGGGTAGTTGTCAAAATGAGGGTCCCTTTTTGGGCGCCCTTAAAAATTGGTGCCGTATTTATTTATGGACCCAAAGAGGGACCCCGATTTGACAACCACCCACCTGTCAGTTAGTCGCCTTAAACCCAGAGAGCCCAATACCTCTTAATTAAGGAATATACCTTAAACCATTAGTTAGGGGCTTCATATTATGGTTTAAGCTATATTCCTTAATTAAGGGGTATTGGGCTCTCAGGGAAGACATCAGGTTTACGGTGGCTTTCGAAGATTGCTTAACCACAGCAGAGCTAGAGGCGGTTGGCAGAGGTTGAGTCCCGATTTTCGGAAAATTGCGGGTACCTTATTCTGGGGTCCTTATAATAAGGAGCCTACTATTTAGGGTACTACTGTTGATGATATAAATCCTGCATTGCCTTAAGGACCCAAAACTTTGGGAATTACGGTATATTCCTTATTATGGGTAATGCAGGATTTATATCATCAACCGTATCGGTACTATGTTAGGGTGCCCTATCTTCATAAAGAGGAGGGCGCGAGGCTGCATAGGAAGATGGGCTCTGATTCCTGGAATCGGAACCTGCCGGCTTCAGAGGGACCTATAGTCTCCATTGTAGTTCCTTTTTTTGGTTAGCCGACATCTATATTATAGGATCCACCAAAAAAAGGGAACTACAATGGAGACTACAGGTACTGTTCTACCGCTTACCATAATTTTTAAGGCTCCTTTAAGGGATCTATAAGGGTTCTATAAGGGCTTGTTTTGCAGATGACGGCGCGAAAACCAAGAGGGCTCTTAATAGCGAGGTCTGAGTTTCTACTACACCCGAAGCTTTCTGGTTCGTAGACGCCTTGTAATCGTAAGGAAACGAAAGCTCAAAGCCTCAAAGCTCCAAAATATCTAACTCCGCTTTCAATGCTTGAGGGCTTCGGACGTTGCAAAACGCCAGGCAGCAAGGACATGCAAATGTGGTTTCTGGTATGAGGATCTCGGTTGGTCTCAGGCACACACACCTGACCTTCAAACCTCACACGAAAGCTGTTGACTGTTGACGCCACTCAGAACAAAACATCACAGCAGACATCCTTAGCAGAACCCCTCTGTGTCGTTCTACAAACCGACCAAACCCTGCCTTCATCGTCAGCTGGCCAGATGCGACGGCAAAACTCCTTGTCAAGGCAACAGATTTTCCCTGTGAGGAGGAATCTGTTCAGCCATTCGGATCAGATGGAACTCAGATTCCTTATAACCTATGTAGACCCAAACGGAGTACCAGGACCTTTCTCTGGGATCGTTGCTTGGCTGCAGATCCACTCCACAACAATGTCCAACCGAGGAACCTCTCTCCGTTGCGATTGGAAGATAATCTTAGGGCTGCATTGGGGACTCAATGCTTTCTGTCACTCCCATGCAGACATGTAAAGGCACACTGCAAAACTTCGTGACCGAACTCACACAGAGCAGAAGCCCCTCCCAACGATTACACAACTGCAGATTCAAGGAATGATAAACACCACTTCATGTCTTCCAAGCCAACCAGACAAGAATGTTTATGGTAGTACGTAGAGACGGACTGCCGACGTAGTGGTAAACCCAAATCGTCGCACCAAGCCCCAAACTGTTTGGCCCTGATCCCGCTGCTGCCAGATTCAAAGACTTCCAGGTTTAGGGCTCAAGTTTATAGGTTATCCTTTGTGACCACTTCCAGGTCCACAGGTCAGAGCCTGGGATTTTGTTATAGAAGGCCCCATCGGAAGAACCTGTTGCGAAGCTGAGTGCCACAGGTAGGGCTTTGGAGTTCTTGCCAAATATTGCGGAGAGGGTTTAGAGTGTCTTCCAGGACACTCGTAAGCACTGTGCTGTTCTGCCGGGCTGCTGTCCCCACTCAACGTTCTTGGAGCTGTTGATGTGACCAGCCTCGCATATTGAGGATTTCCAGCTTCAGAAGTTCGACATCTTCGCGTTTCTTCAAGTAAATAATTGAGCTCTTCCACCAACCCCGTTTACTGTCCAATGATGAAGACAGCCAAAACTGCGGCTCTCAGGCTTATGAGCCCCTGTTGCTTCGACGACGCAAAGGCTCCATGTATCTACATAGTATATATATATATATATATATATATATATATATTTATTTATTTAGAAGCTTAAGCCTGAAAGTACCGATATAGGAACCCCTTTCAAGCTCAAGTATATAATGTGCAGGTGTACATGTATATAGGTAGGTACGCGGATCCTTCAGCAGCCATCATGATACTGCAAGGGCTAGACTACAGCCTGTGGGCACTCGGACCTTGCGCATCATGGCCTGCGTTGCCAAATCGGGTGCTCCATGGCTACTTGCAGGATCATGGGACACAGTATTTAAGTACCTGAATTGGGGTTATAAGGACTCATAAGTGTAGTTACCTCACCTATACCTGTACATAGCCAGAAAGACCTGCTCTTTAAAGAACTATATATAGAAACCATGATAAGGTACCCTAAAGAGGCAGGTCTTTTCGACTACAGGTAGGGTTTAGGGCAAAGGCTTAGGGCATTTTGTTCCGATCGCGAGCAGATGTCCTCTCGCAACGAACCCAGGGCTTTTCCTTCGACCCCCCAACAATGGAACCCTCATAAGATCCCTTAAAGGACCCGTATAGGGGCCTGAACAATTAGAATAGGGCTTTCGGAGGGGGGGTGGGTTTACAATATGATAATGAGAACAAGAACAAGCATGATGGAACACAAACAGCCCTAATGCTAGTGCTAAGAATCACAACACAGAACAAGGAGCATTTCCGGAACCCTGAATATGCCGTCTCGAGATATTCAGGTCCCTGTTCTACATCCTTTTGGGAAGCTACATCTTGAGCCCTGTCGCAGACTCCGAAAACAGTCCCAACCGGCCTCTTCATATTTATCCATCAGCTTCTGTGTGAAGATCTCCCAACCTCGCCAGGGAGTGAAGTTTCTGAAGCGACTGGTATAGGCTTCGGACCACCAAGCCTATGCCCTTAAATATCTGGTGAGTTCTTTCTTGGGACTGTCCAGCTCAGGGCTGCGAGTTGTTCTGCGCTTCTTCAACCTCTGCCTGGAGGTCACAACCAGAAACCTATCCAAGAACGCAGAAGACTTGCTAAGACGGAAGGGCCAGCAAGCAGAAATCATGTCTTGGGATGTCGTTGCGTTCTGCAACAGTCGAACTAAAGCAAAAACAACTTAATTGACTCCTTAAGTGTTTGCCCAGGCCAGTGTTAAGCATGGGACACTGGGGATCCTAGGCGCTGCGTACCACAAGCCCACATTCCTGCAAGTTAGGTACCAGGCAGGAAGACAACGGCAGGTCAAATCGAGTTAGACACCGGTCGGCGATGATCTGTGATAGTGCTGTTCACGACGACGAAGGTGAACACAAGTGTTGTGAAGGTGAGGACGACGGTGATGGTAGTTGTGAAACTGATGAAGAAACGCGGGTAAGTGACGACGACACCTGCGGCTGAGCGGCTGCAGATGCTGATGCTACTCCTCCTGCTGCTGCTGCTGCTGCACTAGTATTAGTACTCGTAGTAGAACCTGTAATAATAATAATAATAATAATAGTAGCTTCAGCAGCAGCAGCAGCACTTCTGTAGTACTAGTGCCAGTCTAAAAGTTTGAGTACTCGTACGACGACTACTTCTACAGTACTACCCCTACCACTACTATGCTGCTCCTAGAGCTACTGCCTCTGGCGCTCTGCCACTGCAACTGCCCCTGCTGCTATTGCTGCCGCTGCTGCTGCTGCTCCTCCAACTCTTCCTCCTCCTCCTACTACTACTTCGACGATTCAACGACGACTACTAGTAGTACGATCACAATCGCCACCACGACCTCCACCGCCACCAGGTCACCACCACCACTTACCACCTGAGACTACAACTGTCCACAGCTGATGCAACCCCCGTCAACACCTGCCACTCTTATCGCCATCGCAACGACGACGAACACCAGGCGAATCACTCTCTCACTGTCAAACAAGTCACAATTTCCAATATTGCTGCCCATGCTGCCACATCTACCGGTACCATGACAACCAGAGCTGACAGGTCAGTCAGCTGTTTCTTCTAGCCCAGCAGGTGTCAGCGTTCGGCCAGGCTGCGATCCATCGGCTCAGCATGATCTGAATCCATCGGAGTTGTCGAGACCTTTCAGCACGTCGGCGCAGGGGGCGGCAGGAATTGGGCCACAGGAATTCAACAAGTTTGCGCAACGAGATCATGAGACTGCTTCATCTATCGAGCTATCAAACTTCAGGCTCACGATTCGCCTTGGTTCGAAAATTCGGGACCGCTGCTTGGTTGCTTAGGGTTGGTCTGCTAGGGAGATTTAGGGTCAGGGTTGAGGGCATAGGACACCGAACCATCATACCCAGAGACTCCAATATCCCTAAATTAAGGAATATTCCTTAAATCCCATTAGGGATCCTACCACAATTTAAGGTATATTCCTTAATTAAGGGATATTGGAGTCTCTGGGTACCTCCTCTTGGCAGAGCTCAGCCTAGACATTGCCTGCCGCTGGATTCTACGAAGGACAAGCACAGTGTAGGAATCCAGGCTTGCGTTGAGGGCGTGGCATGTTGAGCCTGGGGTTAAAGTTTACGGTTTGAGCCTGTGG